TGGTTAAATATTTTGCATTTAGGCGGAAGTTATATTTCCCTAAAACATATAACTCAATCAGATGATCAGTGGTTTAATTGTAATGATATATAATCAACTGGGTTTTAAGGCCCAGTTTTGTGAGAAAAATGACCATTTGACTATTTCAATCATTTGATTATTCTCCTAGAATCCATCCCAATTGTTAAGTCATAACATATTGCATTATGGATGCGATATAATAAAATAAAATGTTTAGGTTTATTTATATTGACTAGTATTTGTTTCGCCTTTCAGAATTTGTTATTTCTGAGTTTTACTGATATATTTTGTGTTTTTCTCTGATACTCTATCACTAGGTAACCTTAGTAAATTATTATAGTATAGACTATTTGGTTTGACTATTTTGTGTGATATTGATTACCAAACCTTGCGACATTACCGCTTAGTGTCATTTTTAGACAAAAATTATACAACGACTTGATTATATCTTCAAAAGTGAGGTTAAGTCTAATGTTTTTAAAATATTTTTTTTATTATGTCGTAGAATCTATGTCGCAAATGATCGTGTGACTTAATTAATACTTAATTGTTATAGTGGAACTAATGATTTATGAAATTTTAGAACTTGTTCAAATCAATTAAATACCAAACTGAGTTTTGTATTTAAATGATCTTACCGGACTTTAAGTAATGATAACTTTGTTTTGTTTTCTATCTTGAAGACTGATCGCTTCTGATCACAAGACCACTTACTTTAGCTACTGATTAAATCAAACAATCCCTGACACCTTATAAAGTACTGTAGTGAAGAATTTTCGACCGATCACTTGACTCATTTGGTAGAATAGATAACCCAGTCACGAAACTAAACCTCTGCATTCCAGCCAAAACAAACCATTAGGAAGTCGACTATATAGCTTTTCAGAAAATATATAGTAAATATTTAAGCAAGATATTTTGCGTTCTTGACTAGTGAGGTCACCAATAAAAATGTGACAAGATCATATGATCACAGAAGAATTACTACATCCACACAATAAGGATGACTATAAGTCACAAACACGGAAAATATGTTTAAACTGCACAACTTCGTGGATATTATTCATCACTAACTTTAGAATTTGTTAGAGAATAAGATATTTTGTAATATCAGAAATAACTTACTAATTAAATGATTATTCATTATAGATATGCTACATATTCTTGTGGAGTTAACTATGATAAATTCATCCAGAGAGTTGATCAAACCTTAACGATACAACACAAAAAAGGATATCAGATTAATTTTCAGTTACATATTTCTATTAATATTCTATCAAAGTAATTATGAAGCACTAACTTATAATGTTATTATTTTCTCTTTCATTACAAATTATTCCTTTTTAAAGTAACTAAGCTTAAGTTTAAAATATCATTAATAATACAAGGAGGTTGAAGATTATGTAACAGAATAGTATGAACAGATCAATATTATTACTTGAGGTGAAACATTTAAATAATAAATAACAGTAACTGGTCTGTGTGTAGCAGTATTGAAGTGAAAGATAAATTTTTCCGTAAGATAGAAAGTCCATATCTATACAACAAAGTCAAGAAATTAATGTCAATGTTAATTTTATCAACAAAAATCAACGACCCTATGTAGCATGTCATTTCGAATTAGCTGCAAAACAAATTCCCTACAACTTTCAAACTAACAGATGAAAATTAATCAAGGAAGAACGTATTTCCAAGAACTCTATTTACAGGAAGCAAATTCTGTGTAAATGAAAGCCATGGACGCCATTCGAAATGATAACTCATCAAATGGAATCAATAAGAAAAATGAACGTAATCCAAAGTCAAAGGCCAATTATGTTCAATCATCAATTATTCAAAAATGAATTTTATATAACTTGAATATAAATGATAACTATGTTGGATTTATAAGCGAAATCTGAAGAATTGAAAGGACTTGTCAGATGTTCAAGTATACATAAATCCGATAGTCCAATAAGTTATTATTGTTCTACTGATTATCCAACAAATCAGCATATCTGAAGCAGCAAATAGCTCTCCAAATGAATAGCTTTAGAGGCATTCCACAATGATGCCGAACGTGATAGTCCTAGTAGACAAAACTACTTGAAAGCGTTCAGTCAAGCCTAGAAGAGTCCTCTATAAAGTTAGATTAACAGTATCCCGTCTATCAATCTCTGTATTCGGTCAAATACTTTGTTAATACCAACTATTACCATCTTCTTTCATGCTTGCCTTATGGAGACCATACTTTAAGCTTATGGATTACATGACCATCCTACTATATTGTATCAACATAATCTTTATCGTCCTCAGAAACTTGTAAATCACAGGGATGCTTTCCAAAATACATAATCCCACGCTTGTTGAGGTTAAATGGTAATTATCATTTTTCACTCCAGATAGTTAGGTTATTGAGGTCACTTTGAATCTAGGATACACTTTCGCTTAGAGCTTCAGGCTTAAAGCTATATATTATTTTGAGATCATCAGCATATAAGTATGGTCTCTCAAATTTTATGGTGTTCTTGTTTATATATACATATATATAAGAAACAAGAGTGAACCTAACACACTTCCCTGGATAACTCCACTAGTTATTGGTCTAGGTGACGAGAGTCATTGTACTTTACCATTTGTTTACGATCTGTTAAACCATAGTCAAAGCAAATCTAAAATACATAACATTGATAGGGAAGCTCTCGGTGTTTTTTACACTACATGCTCAATTATAAAACTTACTACATATCAATGCATGTTCGGTTTCAAACAAAATTTCAACGTTAAGAACCTTGTCCTATTATTAATGCATTTATACATGTATATGCTCTAAACTACAATGCTAAGATTATTACGGATTTTAATTACACTCGAATAAACTGAAATACCGATAGTTGTCAGTCATGTGATGATGAAGTCTCGGCAACCATTAACATTCACTGTTAATCACGTTGGTTCGTATCCTAACAAGGGGTGGTATTATACTTAACCTAGCATCCTGTACAGATATCATCCTACTATCTATCTAAGTATACAATGAATTTGAAAGCAGTGACGATAAAATTGTAGTTGGTGCTCCCTCTATCTGTCCTTCTTAAAACCAACCAAAAAATCCGTCAATTTAGGAATTATAGACGTGTTAACTGGGACCTCCTGCACTCTCTGGTAAGATTCTCAGACTGGATGCCTTCTCGTGTAATGGTCTTGTGGATGCCACCGCCACATTCTATCTGATCACTGACCCTTGTTTAGATTCCTGCGCATTTCTTAAAACATACAGAATTAGTAAACCAAACGAATTATTCATACCAGCTAAATATCGTAATAAACTAAGACGCCTTCAGAAACATTATTTTACGTCAAACAATTTCACGGCAGTTGTACAAATAACTGTAATTTTTAAACAACTTAAAGAAAAGCACAGGTTGAAAGCCATTAATGAGGAGTTTTTGGCACTTAATAACAGGTCAAAAGTAAAAAACCTTTACTCAACTTTTCAATAATAAACATGGTAAAGCCGAAGGGAGATATCCCAACGTTCACTAACTACGTTGTCGCTGTGACATCTACTAAGTGTAAATCACCATATGCACTAATCATTATAAAATGTTCAAAAAGAAACACTTAATTTACTACAAGTATGATAGAAAGTAACTTAAGTGGTTGTCAATAAGCATAGGTGTTTTTATAATCTAGACACTGAATCTTATTAATGTACAGGTTGAAAGATCCATTTTGATACTTTGCCTTATTGCTATTGATTATAAATGTATAGAACGATCAGCATTTTTATCAGATAATTTTCAAAGTCCTAGTGTAGTAGACGCTACTCACGAGATTGCTTGTAAGTAGTATGTTGCAGAACGTGACCTCTAAGCTGTCGGAACACTTAGAACCCAGATGAGAAGACTGTTCGGATTCCAGAGTGCATCAAAGGTTCCAAATGGACAGTTGAAGATTGTTGACGTATTATGTAAATGCTTTGTAACTTCTCACAACAAACATACATCCCTTCTGCATATTGCCTTCTTTTACAGAACCCCATGTTATTTCCAGATGATCCTGTGTTTTAGTGATACATAGGTTACTGGGGAAAGGATTTCGTCCATTTGTACAACTTGTTCGTTATCGATGTAATAATGTACTTGGTGCCTGATCGTAACTTCACCTACAACCTAATCTGATGAGTAAAAGACCTCACAAAGATCCATCAGCTCTGTATAATGAAGGGGTCAAACTTCAAATCAAAAATCATTTTAACTATTTTCCTCACAATTAGACAAGTTTAAGGGTGAATTTCATAACGACAAATGTTTACAATCCATTATCAGCTGAAAAGTGGGATGGATTCCACGTTCCATCTAGTGTAAGAACAGTGTATGTCTGAGAACCTGGAAATACGTCAACCTTAATCCTATATGTTGAGTTATATCATATGCTGCTAGGCTATGAAATTGTATTAAGACTGTAAATTCTAGCTGTAATTCGATGGATTGATAACAGGCGGGATATCATTAGCCACTTATTACTTGTTTATCGTATGCGCTTCATCATATTTTATATTTGATTTGATTAGAGAACAGTAAAATTACCAGAATGAAGACTTCTCTTTTAATTAGAATAAGCACCTTTTTATTAAATGAACATTATCCTTAGAACACTTTCATGGTGAATTAATGTTTCTAATTGATAATAAATATATGTTAGTTAACAACACTGAGTTTTGCATCAAAACTAGTGATGACCATTTTTCAACAAAGAAATTAATAGACCTATGTTCTAGCCTGTTTTCTGTCATTATTTTATTTCAAATACTTATATTAAATAAATAGAACTTGTGAGAAAGTAAAAACAGAACAACAGCTATATATATATATATATATATATATATATATATATATATATATATATATATATATATATATATATATATATATATATATATATATATATATATATAGAATTTCTTAATTCACAGAACATAATGAAATAACCTATTAGATTAACCCACCGAATAAGCAGAAGCAGAATATTGAAAATTTCGAAATAATAAGTATGAATTAGACAGTTTATACGAATCTATCCATAATGATAATACAAGCCAATTTGTTGTTTTTAAAATTATCTTGTTTTATCCCTATGTGTAGGATGAATTGTAAATATCAAGCAAATAAAAAATCTTTAAATCGTGTTTCACTTACAATTAAAAATAACTGATTGTTGGATGGGTCAGTAGATTAACAAAAGCAACAACAATGGTAGTAGTGACTTTAAAAAATGATTGTCAAGAATCTTCTCACATTTTAACAAACAATTTTAGGATATTTAAAAAAAACAGTGGGAAAAGGATTTGAAAACAGAAATTCACAAGGGGCTGTAATATCCAACTTGACGATTACATGATGGACAAAAATGTCGAGCACTTTTTGTGGAATCCAGACAGAATGGAATCAAGCAGCAACCAAAGAAAAACCTGCAATGGAAATAAACGTTAAAAATCAATATTTCGTAGTGGCCGCAAGCTCTTTATTGACAAGTACACGGACTAGATCGACATATAATTGCTGACAACATACTGCCCCGAAAGCACATGGGGTCAGCATACCAATTCCATAGAAAACAACCTTGCTACAAAAAATTCTAACCATAACAAACAAATTATACCATTTAAACGCTGCCCTTCAAGCTCAAGAAAGAATTATGACGTCTCGAGGTGAAAGCTGAGATTCTTTCGAAGTCATGACGTATATGCCCCGTCTAACAACCAGAGCAACAATTAATATAGGTACATGGAACGTTCGGACAATGTGGGATACTGAGAGGACTAAACAAATAGCGACGTAGATGAGGAGATACAACCTGGTGGTGCACGGAACACGTGAAACGCATTGGACCGAAGCTGGACAGAAAAGGTTAGATATGGAAGAGATGCTGCTTTACACTGGGCACGCAAAAGAAAATGCTCCTCACACACAAGGAGTTGCACTGATGCTATCCAAAGAAGCACGAAAATCACTTATAAGATGGGAATCTCATGGACCCAGAATCATTAGAGCATCCTTCAAAACAAGGAGGGAGGGATTACAATGAATGTTATGCACCCACCAATGGTAGTAATGAAGACGATAAAGATCAGTTTTACTAGAGGCTGCAGTCGGTTGTAGAGAAGTGCACCACAAGGATCGATGTTGAACCACTTCACCTTAGGTCTGTTCTACAAGATCCAAGTCAACAGTTGGAAACTACATAAATTTATCCTGTTTTTGGTCGGACCACCACTAGTTTTAACCTTCACTTATACTGTCCAGCATAGTGCATCAGTGTAGCCAATGACTGAAGAGGCGCAATTACCCCGGTTAATGAATGATGATAGTATGATTGACGGACTTGACATTTCTAACTAGCGCTCAAGGTCTAAACCACAGCATTTTTAGCTCAATGGTTCCGTCATACACGAATAATACCTTGAAGATGCATATGATTGGATGCAAACTACCACATGATACAATTGTCAAGGATTTGGATTCCATGTCATTAGAAATTTTCCCATACTCCGCCAGATTAGGCTAAAGATGGCGGAATGTGATCCTCACCTCTGTTTTAGATTTTTGAAGTAAACCACAATCCTCACAAGTTTGCTTTTGAGGTTAAATATCCAGTTTTATCTTCGCATTTTTATGTAAAAAGATAGTAAGTTTCCAGTAGTCAAAGAACATTTGAGCTGGGAGTTTTACAATGTTGGTATTGATGGAGTATTCGACAACCTATTTGATCATTCAGATATCATGTGCTTCTGAAGTCAATAAAATGGCTATAAAATGGTTACAAGATTCAATACAGTGAAAAAAAGGTTGATATAAGTAAAAATTTCACTTGTCTGTCTGATTTTATCCGAATAAAATAGGTTATATGAACCCACCCGAAGAAGCAGAGGATTCCACATAACAACCACGGCAAGCATCCGGATTCTAACCTAACCCTTGTAATACCAGAGTTATGGCAAAAGGGACAGGTAATACCAACAGGATATCGGTGGTATGCAGTTGTGGTCACCGTCGGTTGATGAACAATCACTGTGGCTAAGGTAGATAAGATAACAATTAGTTTATTGTAGTATGAAAAAACAATACAGAATCACTGGTAGCACTCATTTATGTTACCTTAATTTTCAAAGTAAATTCCATGCAAAATATAAGACATAACTTAAATATTAATCATAATCAATTGAACTGCATTTTTTTAATTTTTTGTCTACTTTGGATGGCATTCTGTATCAGCTATAAATATACAGTTGATTCACCTCTCTGGTAAGTGATTTACTTGCACTCCTTGGATAAAACATTATAGAATACACTTTGTGTGCCTTAAGACAGCATTTTAAAAAATCAAAAAACTCTATCAATTTACGAAAAACTAAGTGTATTAGCATTTCTGTGACAAATTTTAAGCCACGTTATATATGATCTTTAACCATTAATTCAACCATTGTCAGAAGCATTGTTGGGAAGTTTTACAGATCTTCGATGCTGATCAGATCAGTGGGTAAATGTGAAACAAAGAATGTGTCATATTTTCACCAGGACATTTAAAGACTTAATTTGTTTTACTTCAATTTCAACCGTGATATTTTACATGTTAGTTCACAATCTTATCAATTAATTTACCACTGACACCACATAAGACTTATCAAATATGGTTTCAACGGTTTGAGTGTATTGATTCGGATGACATTTTGCACTATGCGACGTTTTGTGCAACTTCGCAGTTTAGTTTAAATGTTTAAGGAAAACACAGTGCTTGGAACCTTAAAATACATCTGAAGTATAACAATAAAAACTGAGTGATTGAATTGCCACTTCCATTTAGAACAAAAAGTTTTAGGGAATAAAGACTGGAGGATTACTTTTTTACCCGGAATTTCAACGAATACAGTTGTTTAAAAAGAATTACAAATGAAATGAAGAAAAGCTAGACACTCCGTAAATGTGTACGGTAATCAGTCTTTCTATTCTTAAAAAGTTTTAACTTCAGGATGACTTGCACTAGTGATATGAAAAGCAGTGGGGAGTATTTTTGTTTTGATTGCGGTAATTGCAGTAGATAATTGTACTCATGATAAAACGAATGACCATGTGCAGGAACTTAGGTACAGATGATTGGTTAATAATAAATAAGAAACCTAAAGACTAGATCAACATTATCTGTACAATGACTGAGTTTGTGGAGGTAACAGAAGTCAAGGAAATATGAAGACGATTTGTAGTAAATAGTAGCCACATGGTATCCAGACCATAGGAATCAATACGAAAACACTAGTGAAAAGTCAGTCAGTCAGTAACAACGTAGTGTAAAGTGGAAAATAGTAGAATATGACAAGTGAATTTTGTGTCTTTAAGGATTATTAGTCATACTAAGATGTTTGTTGGGTATAAAGGTTGGAATTAATTCTACTTTAACGCTCTCCATTCTAGAAGGAGCAGAGATAAATGATAAATGACAACAAAGGAGTAATATTGGATATCGTTTTTTTAAATCTTGATATCCATAATCACGGTGCTCACCTGGAGCATAGTACAAACAAAACTAATAGAAATAGGTTTAGTTATCGATAAATTCTACGTACTATTATCGTCTCTTAAATTTTAGAAAATAATATCACTTAGGATCATTTTGTTGTCAGAAATCTTGAGCAATACTGTTGTGTTAGTAAATTATGTGAAAACAAAACCATAACGTTGGACAAAGGTATAATTTAAGGAAGGAAACTGATCATCTCAATACATGAATCTACTATCTGATTGTTGAATGATAGAATTTACTTTTCCCCATCGCCAAAGCTGGGATGCAGTAATACAAATAATTTATTCTCAATTACATACGATCATTATAAATAGTAGCTCAGTATGTATATTTATTTGTGGTTAAGAAATTTTCTAATTCATGCTGTATTCGCAATCAGTTGAAGGGATACTGTTGAAAAATAATGATGTTCATTACCAATAAACAGCTTCGAGGTTATGGAAATCAGCATGTGGTTTCTTGTAGAAGAATCAACTTCAAAACCCAAGTGACCCACGAAATAATAAACTTGATAAAACTGGACAGTTAACTGGTGATAACTCAGTAGTAGATAGATCGAAAGTATTTACATAATCCATATCTAACTGAAATTCAGTCATTTGAAGTAAAATAAGTTCTATATGCAAACCTATCCTGCATTTTTACTTTGCATCAATTATCTACAAATGCGTGTAAAGTACGATCAAACTGAAAGCAGCTGTTAAAACGAATCATTAATCATTTATCAGTTTAGCATGTAACAGTTTCTGTACAGAACTAGATGCTTCCGACTATTAAAAAAGAATTGCCCTTTTCACTTTGAAATTCTCAGTTTATAAAATATCATATAACTAACGATAATTATGCTTGGGTTCATGACTAAGTTTCATATTAATATTTGTTAGAAAAATCGGATACATTCTTTTTTATCCGATTTTTCTCATCCATTTATACTTTGAAAATATGAAAATTAATCTATTCAAAAGAGAAAAAATATTTGAATATTTGAAAACATCAAACATTTCCTTTAGAATTTTCGTTTATTATATTCAATACTCTACAGAAAGTGAAATAAAACGTACAAATGAGAAAAATTTATATTCTACAGGGAAATAGTTAAGAAAAAATTCCTTTCCTGTTTAAAATAAACACTTTTCTAGTAAATGTTTCAATGAATATAGCCATGTTAAATGGTGAAAATCAAAGGATACACTGGTATACAAATAGTGAAATACATAAAGAAATTTAGTAAAAACATGTTTGTTTAAAACGACATATAATACAAACCAATTGTATAAATCGCTTTCCAGATACTTACTTACTTACTCCTAATACCTTTCGTCAAAAGAAATAAGCAGTCCACCGGCATTCTTCATCGAACTCTGTCCTAAACAATCCTTTCCAGTTGCTATCCACGCTTTTGATTTCTGCTTACAATTTTCGACACATGATTAGCACTTGCTTCGTTATGCAGTTCGATGATTTCTGCAATGTATATCCTATCCACCTCCGTCTTTTCCTAATTTCCTCTACAGCTGGAAGTTGGGTTGTTCTCTCCCACAGTAGGTTTTTGCTGATGGCATCCGTTCAACGGACACTGAGTGTCTTGCGTTTCTCTATCAAATGTGACTGGGTTGGTGTTCTCCGTGTTATAGTTGAGGATGTTGCTTTTTCCCTTGTGTATGTTGAGGCTTATTGATGCAGAGGCTCCTGCTACACTGGCTGTCGTGACCTGCATTTGTTGGTGTGGATGGGATAGAAGGGCTAAGTCATCTGCAAAGTCCAAATCGTCTGGCTACATCGACTCCCCACTGTGTTCCGTGCCTTCCTGAAATTTGAAGGTCTTCAGAATCCAATTAATTATCGTATGAAAGAAAAAGGGTGAAATTAGGCAACCTTACCTATGTATAATTTTAGTGCTTCAGGTGGTATACTGCCAGGTCCTGTTGCTTTCCCATTCCTGATCTGTCTGATGACCACCCTGGTTTCTTCCATCGTTGGCGAAGTAACAGTCATAGGAAGGTCTGTGTCGCTTTTTCGATGTCTGGTGAATTAAATGGAGTTCCTCAAAGTGTTCTATCCATCTGTTTCTTTGTTCTTGAATCTCAGTGGTTGGCTTGAGTTCTTTATTCTTCACCGGTCTCTCTGGTTTATCGTATTTCCTTACTAGTTTTTTTTTCGTTGAGCCATATAGTCGTCTCATAGTTCCCTCTGCTGCAGTTTTTCCCGCTGTCGTTGCTAGGTCACGATTTTCAGAGGTAATAGATGGACTACTTTTAGATTCTAGGTACCCGTGACAGACACCCTATTGTCACTAAAACACAAGACAATTGGTAACAGGAATTCGTCCTTGGTGTGTGTGGTCTTACCACATCCCAGACGACATGGTTGGTAAGTTAGGACCTTACTGAAAAAATAATCCAGCCCCGTTGGGTCATCATTATTCTCAGGACCAACTACCGCATTAAGAAAACAAATGTGATTATAGATATGACTGTCTGTCCAAGAGTTCTTTATTCAAAACACGTTGCTAAACAGGAGATTCATAACATCCACCAATCTACGAAACTAACAATAATGTCTGGGTATTCCAACATCGTAACAACAAATAGACAAATTAATAAATAATAATGCTTGCCTGGTGGTGCAGGTTGGTAGCCAGATCCCATAAATACATTACTAGTTGGTTGGTTAATTTGTGGGTACAAGGGATAAGGACATGGATCCTGAGTTGGATAAGGCGCAGTTGGAGGAGAGTAAGGAGGAGGGGCTGAAAGATGAAAATAAAAATATATCTAGCTGAATATCACCAGAAACGAGCGTCCGTACCTTTCGTTTTTATTTACTGCCTAGAAGACTAATGCTTTCTAAGTGAAACATGCTTTAGATACTTTGTCTTTACAACCGACTGATATAGGCAATCCCTTTTAGATGTAATTCTTAATTACTCCAGCAAAATTGAACGAAATTTCGTAAATGGATGTCTATCAAGAATTTCGAGTCACCTTTCTCTTACAATTGAATACACTGTCAACGATATTTTCGGCATGTTAACAAAAAATGGAGTTGATGTAGACGATAACAATACGGATAAGGATGTGATCTATGCTAATCTAGTAGCCGGTAAAAACCAATCAGATCAACTTCTTTTGATATACCCCATATGCAAGCGAAAGATGAGGAACATAAACTTTGATAAAACTCACCAAACTTGCACCAAGAGGGCGAAGACGAAGTTTAAACAGTTAATGAGTCACATAAAGTAGGAGAGCATGGTGAATCAGAAAAGAATTCCCGATATTTATAGTTCCGGTCAAACGATTCCAGATTGATCATTCTCTATTGTACTTTGACAATCATATGTTACACTATAGCACCCACCTGTAACTTAAAGCTAGTTTGAAAAGGTTGAGGTGAATCAGTAGCTACGCCACTTGCCTGTCGAACATCTGTATGCTCGAGCTTACTGACTTTACTCCGGTTCGTTGGGCTACTTAGCATTAATGACACCAACGAAAACTGAGGCTCAAAGCAAGGTACATAAACATGCAACCGGCTATGATTGATGTCAGACATAGGGACGACTTATGTGAAATCAGTAGGACTTTTACATTACCCTACCAATTACGTCTAAACTACGTGTCTTAGAAAGTGACCGATAAGATTTCCTATCAAGAAATGACTGTTATTTTAGCAATTAACCCAAATGTAAAAATAATGAACATAGCAGACACATGTCAGTCACAGCAAATATTAATTGTTTGTTGACGGAATTCCCTTATTTTTAGATGGGTTTTCATAAAAATTCAAGCTGGTCAACACCAATATTTTCAGGGACATTTCCTGATATATTTTTTGTATTCCGTAAGCCAAGCATTAGTTTATTCGTGGTACTTTAGAAGAAATATATCTATAATATTATCGATACGTGGATTATAATTAACTCAATGTAGTCGACTTGACTGATAAGCAAGAAAATACTGAAACTACGACATAGCTTGGTAAAATAAGGGCTCATTCAAAGATACAAAGAAAAATCCAGGGGATTTACAACTACAGAGTAACTCACGTTTATCCATAACGATCTGAGCCAGTGTGAATTATGTCGCCAACATTATTTCAAGATTCAATATTTGGTGCCGCAGTAGTCTTCAGTCTTCAGTAATAAGAATAGTAGGTTGGTGAACCTGTATTAATCCTGACACATTGCTTTCCAGTGAAGGTCCAGCTTCTCCTTGAAAGCATTCACTGATGGGGCTGATACCACTTGTTCGGGTAAGGCGTTCCAATCATTGACTACTCGATGAGAAAAACGGCACCCCATTCTAAGTTCATTAAATCGCGGTTTATAAACCTTCTTGCTATGACCTCGGAGATTATTAGTGCTGAAGGGGGCAAAAAGATAAGACATATTAACACCCAAATCATAATTAAAGATACGAAATGCCAGTATAATGTCACCTCGTGTCCTACGATACGACAAGGCGAAAAAGTTTAGGCGTCTTAAACGCTCATCGTAAGGGAGTTTAGAAAGACCCTTCACCCTTCACTGCGCTGCAATGCGCAGTTCTTTTCAAGTCATGACTTATTACTACTTCTAAGTCTTTATGCTACTGAACTTGTAGCGGTAAATAAATCCCCAAAATAAATAGCTCTAAGTTTTCGACATTGGATGCTGACCATATGTTTTAGTGGACTCATCTAGCTGAAGGCGCTCGGTCAGGCATCCGCACCAGATCACGTGTGGTAACGCCGTGCTCAACATCAACCGCAATCGCTAGCCAGATTAGATCAGAGAATTCCGATATATTGGTCATCGCCAAATATACTCTTCCGATCTCCTCGACTCTGTCTTTTGATTTCTCTTGGTGGGAACGAAAATATTAGAAGGTGTTACTGGTAGAAGCGTTGTCAAACACTGAATACCTGTGACATCATCATTGGTGAGACCGTCGTGATCTGGTACACCTTATTGCAACTGTGAGTCTGTTCCTTTTTGGGATTTTTATATATCATTGCCTTATTTTTTATTTTTTTTAAACATTGTGATTTTTTTCGTATTTTTTCTTGGATATATATATTTTTTCCCCTCGTTCATTATCGTACTTCATATTTCATCATGACTGAACAGACACCTAAAGTACTCAAGCTTAAGACCTTGTCCCCACCTTCGTTTCAACTGATGCCTTTCTGGCCCGACAACATCGAAGCCTGGTTTTGCTACGCAGAAGCCGACTTCTCCGAGCACGGCGTGATCGACACACGTGCACAATTCCTCGCAGTAGTCAAGGCACTACCGCGCGAATTCAACAGGTACGTAACACCTAGTATGTTTACTAGTGATGTTTCCGATCCTTACGAAATCTTAAAACGCTCGATTCTTAAACGAGGAGACCTAACCGATCGACAAAGGTTAGATCAACTCTTCAATAACATCGACCTGCAACACGGTTCTGCGACAGACATGTTGCAACGGATGAGAGAGGTTATAGGCCCAAGAACTTTCGACGAAGGTCTATTCAAACAACTCTTCTTGTCAAAACTTCCCCAACAGGTGCAAGCAGTTCTGGTCTCGTTCCAGAACAACGCCTTAGACGAGCTAGCTGCATCTGCCGACCGCATTCTAGAAATTACGAAACCTACTACCGAGGTATTTTCAGTCAAAGAAAAGCCTCAAACGACTCAGAATGATATAACCGACTTATGTCACACACTCACGCGTTATCTTAGTCTTCGTACCGACCGTAAGAGATCGCGCACACCACGTAGAAGCATTTCTCGTAAGCGATCTGTCTCTAGACCACGAGAGACAGATAACCCCGACTGGTGCTGGTATCATAACCAGTATGGAAAGTTTTCCAGAAATTGCAGAAAACCCTGCAATTTTCCCAACACGAAACCGACTGATTCGAAAAACAATTCGGGAAACTTCCAAGCCGGCACGCGTTAACGGCAACCGTAGCCGGCGAACAAGCCGTCTGTTATACGTCACAGATGTGACAACGAGAGTTCGCTACCTCGTCGACACTGGCGCAGAAGTTAGCGTTCTCCCAGCAAATCCTAACGACCGACTTCACGAATCGACTCTAAACTTACAGGCGGCAAACGGAAAACCGATCGCTACGTATGGCAAAAGGTACGTTTACCTTAACGTGGGTTTACGCAAACCCATCCACTGGATTTTCGTTGTTGCAGATGTTTCTATGCCAATCATTGGTATGGACCTTCTACAACACCACAATCTGATCATCGACACTCGCAAACGGAGGCTAGTAGACGGAAACACTAATTTGTCCGTTTGCGTAACTTCTTTTACTGGTTGTAGAGTATCCCCAGTCACAGTTAAGCATATGATAGACCCACTCTATCAACCACTACTCGATAAGTACCCTGGGATACAACAAACGCAACCGAAACTACCGTGTGTAACCAGCAACGTTACACATCACATCACGACTACAGGACCACCTGTATTTTCTAAAGCACGACGACTAGCTCCTGAAAAGCTAAGGTTAGCGAAAAACGAATTCGACCATATGATGGACTTAGGAATCATACGACCGTCAAGTAGCCCATATGCATCTCCGTTGCACATGGTCCCTAAAAAGGACAGCAACGATTGGCGTCCAACTGGCGACTATCGGCGATTGAACGCGAAAACCATTCCCGATCGTTACCCGTTGCCTCACATTCACGATTTGACAGCTACCTTGAAAGGTACAACTGTCTTTTCGAAAATCGACTTGGTTAAAGCGTATAACCAAATCCCTATGGCTACTGACGACATACCGAAAACAGCTATCATAACTCCCTTCGGACTCTATGAATTTTTGCGAATGCCTTTCGGTCTAAGGAATGCTGCTCAAACATTCCAAAGATTCATAGACGACGTTTTTCGAGGTCTCAACTTCGTACACGCGTATGTTGACGACTGTCTAATCGCAAGTCCGGACAGAGAAACACATCTCAAGCATCTGGATCTTGTTTTCGAACGATTACAAAAACATGGCATAACTGTAAACGTTCAGAAATGCCAATTCGGAACCGACTCATTAGACTTTCTGGGACACACTATCGATGCTCAAGGTATCCGACCCCTTAGAACCAAAGTGGCGGCCATTCTGGATTACCCAGAACCGACCACCGTCAAGCAATTACGCACGTTTAACGGCCTGGTAAGTTTCTATAGACGTTTCATACCGAAATGCGCATTACTTATGAAACCTCTGACCGACCAACTTCGTGGAAATGCGAAATCCATTAATTTGGACGACACCGCACGAAAAGCATTCTCCACAGTTAAGGAACTGATCGCTAAAGCAACAATGCTCGCACATCAGGACACCGAAGCACCCATTAGCATCGCAGTAGACGCATCCGACTCGGCAATCGGAGGAGTCTTACAACAATGGGTTAACAACTCCTGGCAACCCTTGGCATTTTTCTCTAGAAGGTTGCTAGACACCGAATCGAGGTACAGCACATTCGGTAGGGAACTCCTAGCTATGTATTGTGCTGTACGGCATTTCCAACACTATATCGAAGGCCGTGAATTCACTCTTTTCACGGACCATAAACCGCTCACTTTCTCGTTAAGCTCTCCTTCTGACAAGTACTCTCCCCGTGAGTCTCGACAACTGGACTACATTTCGCAGTTTACTTCAGATATTCAACACATCTCTGGAGCAAACAATGTAGTTGCAGACGCCTTATCTCGCATAACTTCCTTGAACAGTTTCCAAGGAATCGACCTTCTTAAACTCGCCGAGCTTCAAAAAGAAGACACTGATCTTCAGCACGAGTTATCGTCCACAACACTTAAACTACGCATCAAACAGATGGGAACAGGTAAGGAAACCTTACTTTGTGACACATCTACAGGTAGGGATCGCCCAATCGTGCCGAAACATTATCGACGCAATGTCTTCAATACATTGCACAAACTTTCTCATCCAGGTGTTCGTGCAACCATCAAGCTTATAGCAGAACGATTTTGCTGGCCTGGCATGAATAAAGACGTGAGGGAGTGGGCACGCTCCTGTGTAAGCTGCCAAAAATCTAAGGTTATCAGACACAATAAATGTCCCTTAGGCTCGTTTAAAACTCCCGATGCTCGTTTCGACCATGTTCATCTGGATTTGGTAGGACCTTTACCAGATTCAAATGGATACTCTTACCTCTTAACCTGCGTAGACCGTTTCACTCGATGGCCAGAAGCAGTACCTATCAAGGACATCACTGCTGAAACAGTGGCCCGCACCTTCGTCGAACGATGGGTAGCAAACTTCGGCTGCCCTTCAACCATCACTACAGACCGCGGACGTCAGTTTGAATCTGATCTTTTCCGTCGTCTGACCACACTTTTAGGAATCACTCGCTTCCGAACGACCGCCTACCACCCACAAGCAAACGGGTTGGTAGAACGTTTTCACCGACAACTGAAAGCTTCGCTATCAGCTGCAAACGTTTCACAGTGGACCGACGCTCTTCCACTCGTCTTACTAGGTATCCGCAATGCAGTGAAAGCTGACATTGGATACACTGCGGCTCAACTCGTTTATGGAACGACACTTCGACTTCCAGGAGAATTCGTGGATCCTTCGTCCTCTTCAATGAACATGGATCTAACCTCCTACACGAACAGGCTTACAAACGCAATGCGTTCAGTTAAACCTGCTTCCACTCGACCTCAATCAACTGATGTTTTCGTTCAACCTGACTTACGATATAGTACACACGTTTTCGTTCGTCGAGACTCGCATCGACGACCATTCGAATCAGCATACGAAGGACCTTTCAAAGTTCTTCAACGTGAATCTAAGTACTATATAGTCGATAAGAACGGAACCAACGATAGCATCAGCATCGATCGCTTAAAAGCAGCGTATTTAGAAGGAAATCCTATTCACGTCGATTTTCCTTCGGTACAATCGCACAACACGACTCCTACACTCATATTCCTCAACCGACAACCAACACTAGCGATGATACTCCGAATGTATCTGAAAATAAACCTAAAACGACGCGTTCTGGAAGAAGAGTAAGATTTCCAGAACATTTAAACGACTACTGCACGTAA